AGCTTTCCTTCTCCTTCCGCTTGCTCCATTCCTGTCCAGAGAGTGGTCCTGAGATAGCTCACAGGCAAGCAGGCTTCCCTTCTGCCCTGGCCTGGGGTGGGTCTGTGAAGCCTATGCAGTCCCCATTCCACAGACACATACACAAAAATGCAAACTCCACCTGCCTTACTCAGGCCACCTTTGGCTACCAGGTTGGGGGCTTCTCTGTGTCCATCTTAGAGGAAGGCTTCTAAGTGCCAGAGCCTGGAACCAACAGTAGAAATGTGGGGGTGACTTCTAACTCGTTCTTGCCTGGTGACACCACCTTCTGCCTTACAGCGGCCTTCCTCACACAGACTGTCTGCTTGGACGACACAACAGTCAAGTTCGAGATCTGGGACACAGCTGGACAGGAGCGGTATCACAGCCTGGCCCCCATGTACTATCGGGGGGCCCAGGCTGCCATCGTGGTCTATGACATCACCAACACAGTAAAGATTTTCCCTTCCTTCTCTCCCTGCTCTTCATCTTCTCAAAGCCCCAGAAATCAGGTTATAAAAGCCCCGACTTCAGGCCTCTCGACTCTGTTCCTGAGTAGGGTGTGGGCAGATTTCCTCTGTTGTTTGGGGGCATCACGCCAGAATCTTTAGGTGGTGACATCTTAGATACTTTGGCTGTGGCAGCTCAGGCTTCTCTAGTGAGTGGCCTTCGGCGGAATGCCTCCTCTGTACCTTTGACATTCTGGCCCTGTCTCCTCAGGATACGTTTGCACGGGCCAAGAACTGGGTGAAGGAGTTACAGAGGCAGGCCAGTCCCAACATCGTCATTGCACTCGCGGGAAACAAGGCTGACCTGGCCAGCAAGAGAGCTGTGGAATTCCAGGTGAGCAGGTGGACAGGGCTCGGGGGAAGGAGTAAGCAGCCACTTGGCCTCCCAGGTTGCTCCTGGGCTTTGGGAAGAACCTCACTAGGAAGCAGCTGGGGAGCCTACATCTATTGTCCTCTCATGACTCAAGCTTGGGCTTAAAAGGGATTGTCATCTGCCTATCCCTTGTTTTTCCCTATGGTGGTGGGGGGTGTGTGTGTGTGGATATCTGAGGCTGCTCCTTATTTTCTCTTATAAACTGACTTTTTAATTAAGCTTATTGGAAAAGAAATACTTTCTTAATGTAATACATGCACATAGTAAAATTTAAACAGTACGAGAAGGTATATAGAATGAAATTTAAGTCTCTAATCCTAGAAACTCAGCCTTTCTTCCCCGAATTTTCTTGCAGTTTCTTATCTTGCCAGAAGTATGCATGTGTACATGAATCCTTGTACTATACATACTGTATGTTACAATTTTTTTCTTTTCTTTCTTTTTTTTTAATTTTTATTTTGTTTTGTTTTGGCGGCTGGCCAGGGCATGGAGCTAACCCTGGACCTTGCTGTTACCAGCACCACACTCTAACCAACTGAGCTAACTGGCCAGCCTATTACAACTTCTTTCTTTCCAGTCCCTAATTGATGGACTTTTGGGTTGTTTGTAAAAGACTGGAAACAGTGCTGCAGTCAACATCCACACACGTTTGTGCTTTTGTTCAAATGTGCAAGTGTATTTGTCGCATAAGTTTCTGGAAGTATTTCCTAGCCTAGTGATTTTGAAGAGCAAGAAGGCAGAGTGGACCTAGAGAACCCTGAGTGAGATATCTGCTGATGTTCGTGAGCCGAGAGGGATGGGAGTGTAGTGTAGATGTCTCAGGGGAACCCAGAGCAGGGGAGCCTTAGGCCTGAAAACCCCTGCATTTGTCTAGCCAGTCTCCATTGTATATAAGGCACTGTGGACAGGGAAGATTTTCTCCTGGGCCCTGGCCCCTGCCAACATTTCCCTCCCACCCTCTTTCTCATCTTCATCTGAATCAGGAAGCACAAGCCTATGCAGATGACAACAGTTTGCTGTTCATGGAGACATCAGCAAAGACTGCCATGAACGTGAATGAGATTTTCATGGCAATAGGTAAGTTGCCTCTCCTCCCCTCCCCTCTCCTTCCCTCCCCACCACTGTCAGGGTATGTTGCTTGTCTGCTGTTCTGCAGTGGGTCTGTGGGGTCCCTTCCCCAACAGATCTTTCACCAGCTGATAAAATCGTTTTCTTCTTCATCTGACTCCCTGATGTAGGTAGTTCACCCCAGAAGGTCCTAAAGCCTGGGCCAAGTCTCAGCATTTCACTCCCTGACCCCTTTGTCTTGCGACCCACTTCAGAGCCTGCCGTCACCATTCCCCACCCACTTCTTAGGTTTTTTTAAGCTCATTTGGCCCTGGAGTCATCTGGCCTGGGTTCAAATCCTGGCCCTACCACTTATTAGCTCTGTGGTCTTGGGCCGGTTATTTATTTATTTATTTATTTATTTATTTTGGTCTGGAGTCATCTGGCCTGGGTTCAAATCCTGGCCCTACCACTTATTAGCTCTGTGGTCTTGGGCTGGTTATTTAACCTCTCTTTGCTCAGTTTCCTGAGACACTCAGAATGCATCTGGTGCATAGAAGCCCTCAGTATGTTAGTTATCACTGATTGAGTGGTAAAGGCCAGATTCTGCTCCAGTGGAATTGGGAGAGAGTGTTGGGGTACCCCCACAAATGCATTTTCCCCCCTCCTCTTCCAAACAGCTAAGAAGCTTCCCAAGAATGAGCCCCAGAATGCAGCTGGTGCTCCAGGCCGGAACCGAGGTGTGGACCTCCAGGAGAACAACCCAGCCAGCCGGAGCCAGTGCTGCAGCAACTGAGCCCCCCTTGCCTGCCCACTGTCCTCACCTCCTCCGCCTGAATGACCTGACTGGAATCCACTCTAACCAATCGCACTTAACGACTCGGGCCACCACTGGGGCGGGGCAGGGGGAGGGGTCTACCATGATTTCTCCATATAATTTTGATCATAGGCTGGAGTGAGTTATTCCACCTGCACCTTTCTGTACAAATACTAATTCAATTTTAAGTCTTAAGTCACTTTTTTAATATATATGATCTGCTGTTCCCACTTCCTCCCCTTTCTTCTGCTCTCCCACTTTTCCTTTGTTGGTAGTAGCCACATGCTCCTGTTTCCTCCACCCTTGTTTATGGGGATGGCAGGTTGGGGCTGTTACCCTTCCTTTCCCTCTTGCTGAGTAGCAGACTCAGCAGGAGCATCCACATCCTTACCTTGTTTGGAGTGGTCTTGGTTTGGGGTGGTGGGGCAGGCCTTGGGGCGAGGGAAGGGAGAGGCAGCTCTTCCCTCAACTGGCTGTCATCAGGCTGCAGCCCCTACCCCCACCCTGACTCTCAGTGGAGAGGAACCATTCATTACCACAGCATTATTGTGACAGCCACAAACCCATTGCCCACAGCCCCTCCACCCTCGATCACCCTGACCTCTGGCTCTGAGCCCTGTTCTGACCAAATCACGATGATGAGTATTTGGGGGTGGGTGGGTAAGGGGGGGAGTGGGAGGGGATGGAACCAACTTTTTCTGTATTTTGTATTGTATGTTTTCTTCAACATGTAACCAATCAATATCTTGTCAATATAGTCAGCCGATCGTTCGACCTCACACTTGTCTTCCTTGTCTTTCTCTGGCTGAGTTTATCAGACCATGTCCTCTCTAGTTTACTTGAATTTAAAATGAACCACTGAACCTTGTTAGACAAAGCCCTCGCCTCCTAATATGAGGGGTGCTGGTGGTCGTGGCAACCGAGAGAAAGAGCTGTAACTGTGGCAGCTCTAATGGAATGGGGCTGGCATAAGACTGACCTGGGGCTCACCAAGCTAAAAGTTGAGGGTCCTGCACTTGCCTCTTCCCCACCTACCAGATTACACTGCACCCCAGTATGTTTAGTTTATATTTGAAGATGGTTGGTCTCTGAAACACCAGAAATGGCTTCTGGAGTTTTTTGCTTAGTCTCTACTGGGCCTGTGAGGGACTGGATGCTCTTACCCTCCCTGAAGAGCAAGGAACACTGACAACCTGTGGGACGCTGGACTGGTCTTGAGGCCAAGGCTGCAGAGCCTGGCTTTCCTCCCCACTTGTGTCCTCCGCAGCACCTCCACCCCAGGTCCTAGCCAGCCCGTTCTGTCTCTCGGGCCCTCTACTGGTTCTGGAGTCAGGAGAGGTCTGGGCACTCCCAGCCCTCTGCTGCTCCCTGCTGGAGCTGCGGCTCTCAGCTAGGGCTACCCTGTCCCCTCTGGTTTCTCCCAGGGACCAGAGGCCTGATTCTTGGTGGATCACCTTTAGGTCGTCTTCTGCCTCGTTCTACCTGTGGCCCCAATCCCTTTTCTATAGCTCTACCTCTGACCCCAACCCCAGAAAAGACAATGGCCACCAGGTTTGCTGCACACTACGGTTGTTGTTTACTAGGTCAGGCTTGGTTGGAACCCTTCTTCGAGCTGCGGCTCCTGAGCCTCGGTGACGATCCTGTTTGGGCTTCAGGGGGAGACAGCACTCGGTACTGGCCTCGGACGCACAGCTGGCCGGAGGGGGTCAGGCAGCAGGTCATGGCGGTGGTATCCAGGTCGGGTGGTAGTAGCATTTGCCGATACACCTCCTGCGAAATGCGGTAACCACCCCCTTCCGGGTCATGGCCCTCCAGTTCCCGCTGGCCGGTCACCATCAGGCTTTGATCGTCTACTCGCACCAGCAGCTCCTCGGGGGTGAAGCCGTGGGCATCCATCTTCATTTGGAAACCGTCTTCAGCACGGTCATTGCCCTGCACGGCTGCCGGACTGTCCCTGAGCAGCCGCACCGGCAGCACGCCCACCTGACCCTGTTCAGTGAGGGCCACGCTGGGACTTCGGGACGCCGCCCGGCTCTTGTTGGGGACACTGCTACCGACCCGCTGCATCCGAGTGAGCAACTGCTATCCAAGGGCGCGAGGCTCAGAATGCAGGGCTCGGCGCGCAGACGCACGGAGGGGAGGGTCCGCGCGCGGCCCCGCCGAGCTCTGCTCCCTCCGCTCGGTGCCCTTGGTTTCTGCGGATGCCAGCAGAGCTCGGGGTCAGCCGGGCCGGTCCTACCTCAAGGGTCAGGCTGTCAGCCACCCTGTTTTATCCCGGATCCTGCGCTTCTTTCCGGGCGCCTAGGGCTGTTACGGAATGAGGCTGGACGTCCGGAGCCTGACCAAGAGCGGGCGCCCGCGCAGAGCCGAGACCAGAGTGAGCCGCTGGGCAGGACGGGGGCTGTCCCGCCCTCTCAGAACCAGGCCTGGACAAGAAGGACCGTTTCCTGGACAGGGCCGTGAGGGTGGCCTTCCTGGGCCATCCATTCTTGGAGCGCCCTGCCTTTCCTTGACCACGCACAGTCCCACGCTGACACACGGGGACTGGCAGATGGACCCATCTTTCCGGCTTCTCTAGTTCATCTGCCCCGGGGGCCTCCCGTGGGCAGTCTCGAGGCTGGGCTCTGGGTGGGAGCACAAAGCCGAAGCCGCGATTCAGGGCTCCGGGAAAAGCTTCGGCCCTCCTCTGCCTCGTCCCCACCTCGGGAGCCTTCTCCGTGGTTACCGTGGCCACAGCTATGCCTCTGGTGCGTCCCCAGTGTCTTGATAAAAAATCTTTCGTTGAGGGGCCGGCCCGTGGCTCACTCGGGAGAGTGTGGTGCTGACGACACCAAGTCAAGGGTTAAGGTCCCTTTACCAGTCATCTTAAAAAAAAAAAAAAAAATCTTTCGTTGAAGTATAACATACATACAGAAAAGTGCACAGAAAGGTACAGCTGAATGTCACAAGGCAAACAGGCCCGTGTGACCTCCACGCAGCTCGAGAAGCAGAACTGCAGCTGCGTGCAGTTCCCTGTGCGGGGCCCGCGGGGCC